GAGAGATGATAAAGTGTTTCCTGTCACCCTTTAACTAAAACATCCATAAAAGTCTTCTAGCTTCTTAGGAATGTTCTAAACCACACCTTTTTAAAAAATAGAATAATATAATGTCCTGAGATGACGATACTGTTCCTTATTATAATTTTATCATGGTGATAGTGTTTCTATTATAATTTTCATTTAAGTTTAATAATAAATGTTAATAACCAAGCCTTATTTGTTTCTATGTTTTACTGGCCTTATCTGCTAGAGACCGTTCATCCAGACAAGCTGCCAGAACAGCAGTTTTTCAAGCAATTGCTTGTCTGAGCTTTGCCAGAATTTCAAGTGATTACTGTTTGGCTTCCACTAGTCAACTTGCTCGAGAACCCTTTAGTTGCACAATAGTTTTATGAGGTTCATGTACAGATTTGAAAACTGCCATCTCTCAATAAATCACACATTTGTATTGTTCAATTAAGTAGGAAAGATGGCTTTGCATATCTAACCTAAAGAAAAGAGAATTATTTGACTGTTGGGATTTCCTACGTGACTTCTGTACTGAAGACAGATGCAAATCTTTTGCTTTGTACATTTGCACAAAATGCATTGTGAGGGGGTGCAGACATGTGCCCTTAGCAAGCCATCTGGCTCCAGCACACAGGTAGCAGGCAGCTGGGAAGAGGGTGAGTTTCTTCAGGATCAGGCTAGCTGGAGGGAGTCCCTGCAACCACAGGAGAGACTGCATCCTAATGAGAGGAATCTGGAGGAGTCAGGGTCAACTGGGTCAAGGGGAATAAGACAGCAGAACTGGGAAAGCAAGGATCACCACCTATCTTGGAAGAAATGGAATGGGGGAGGATGTCCGAAGCTGTCTACCCTTGTCAGGTTTATTGATTGGAGCCAGGCACTGGAGGCTCCAGCCATGCATTTGGACAAGGCTATGTTAGCCTGGGTACCGCCACAGCTATGGAGAGGCAAGTGAGGGAAGAGACTTGGAGAGACAAGCGGCACAGATTGAGTTCTCATGCTCATTTATACAAGCCTTCTCTAAAAGGTGTGTATCCTGGACCTAATCTCTCTTGTCCTTCCTGCCTTCCAGAAACTGGACTCTGGGAGAGTTCCAGTGAAATTAACTGGTGGCCCCGGGTGACAACTGGTTTAAAGACTGTAGTTTGACTCTATGGGACTGTAGGAGACAAGGCAGCGGGAATTGCTGCTGTAACTCTAATAAAAACTGATGTGAATCAAGAAACTAAACTGGAGCCCATGGAGCTATTAACAGGGAACTGGGAACCCTGGTTCTACCGGTGAGGGAGCTGGTGGGGTGTATATGCATAAAAAAGCAAAATACTCTTTAAAAACCCTATATGCACAAGGGCAATCATGCCATGGCTTTTCCCCCTGCAACAGGCTAACCTTCATGCAATTAGTTAGTTGCACAACCAGCCAGTCACCCAATTTTGCAACTAACGCATGACCAGTTGTACAAAGAAGAGCCTGCCAGAGAAGAACAAAATGCTTGTGGTATTGACTTTCCATTACTGTGTAAATGAATAAAATTTTAACTAAAATGTTATTTTAGGAGAAAAAACATATAATTTAAATGTGCATTTTAAAAACAGAAAATTTGTTGGAATGGACTTATAATGAATACATGATAATGTATTCACAAAGGCTTTCGCGGCCGGAATCTAATGGTTGTTGTGGCTTTTTCGGGGTCCTTGGCCGTGTTATGGAGGTTGTTTTTCCTAACGTTTCACCAGTCTCTGTGGCTGGCATCTTCAGAGAACAGAGTGCAGTCTCTAGCAGAACACAGCCAAAGAGCCTGAAAAACCCACAACAACCAATGCATGAAAACCTGACATTGACTGGAAACAGACCGCTCTGTCTATTTCTAAGAGAAATACATACTTCGGCAAGATTCGGCAAGGTGTGTTTCTAAATTTTGAAATTCAAAAGTGACACACTTAATAGCACAACTACTTTTGTGTGTGTGTGTGAGAGAGAGAATCAGCCCAATTAATCCCACTTAATATTATTCAAAGCCTTGGTTAATAAGAATGGACCTAATTTACAGAACTGTAGAACACAGCCCTAGTCTTTAGCAGTTCTTGCTATGTTGGCTTCCTATAAGGTCCTTCTGAAGTTTCATTTTTCAAAAAAAAAAAAAAAAAGGCAAAGATACAGCACATGGACCTCTGTGTCACATCCACTTTCTCTCACAGATCTTTCAGAGACCTCTTTCCCACCTGAGGATAATTCTTGCTGAGAACATCTGGCATTTTACTCTATCTTCAGCCAACCACTATGGCTCTCACAGATCAAGCAGACTTGTTCACACTTTCAAAATCCAATCAGCATTCTGAAGAACAATTCATATTACTTTTTCTAACCTTTGGTGCAATATATTTTGAACAGTACATGACATGAATGCCCCTTTTATTTCTCTTCCCATGAAAAATATGGAAAGTCATTGTAGATTTCATTTTCTCAGAGCATTGAACAAGACATATGATTGTCTTAAACAGAATTTGTTCAGCACAAAAACATCATATGCAAATGACTCCCAAGAAGAAAAAGCATTTTCATATTCATCATAATCAGTTATTTTTTTTGTTCAGATTAATGTACTTTTTTCCAATCTCTTATTAGACAGACAAACTACATCTTAGGTGACATTGCTATTTTCATAGTAAAATCCAGGCCACAAAATTACTGCTGCACAATGTTTTAAGTCAAGGGTACACAAATCTCTAGGGCTGTGTGTCATATCATCATATGCACACAGAGAAACACAAAAATTTCCACACACATATATGCAGACATGTACATACTCATGCATGCACACACAGACATACCATACACATGGATGGGAAAGAATAAAACTCCCCATTATTGCCCACTGAGATCTTGGAATGGCTGGCATGGTGGTAGAGAGACTTCAAATCTTAAAGCAAAGCCCAGAAAGTTAGAAGAAAGTTGATGAGGTGACTCTAATCTTGGGGGCCACACAGGCAGGCACCAAGAGTGTGTGGTCCAGAGCTGTCAGCTGTGTATCCCTGGAGTATTTAACACAATTAGCTGTTGAGTAAAAAATTCCCACCCTCCTGGAAAGTGGCAAAGCCTGTTGCCCAGACACTTAACTAACCACATGCTACTTGACCCATGGCAATTTTTTCTTAAAGAGGCATGCCTTTGTACTAAGCAACTGGGGTTCTTGTAAACACTTCATTAGTTTTTTAAAAAACTAATTAATAAAAGTGGCAAACTCATTTTACGCTAGGGAGACTAGGCTTGCCAATACAATACATCAAAAGGCTTATTTCACTCATTTCTGCACAATTTGCTTGGGTGACTATAAATACAGTTTTTGCCATTCTAAGAGGGCTTTCCTTATTTTCAAAATGACTTACAACAAGCTTAGTTTGTCATTTCTTTCATGAAAGCAGCAGATTTATAAAGACAGGAAGAAACATTAAAAATAAAGCATGCTTCCAGACCTAATACTAACTGTTAAAAGGTTTTAAGCAGCTATTCTGTCTTTTCATCCTTATTTATTTTTCTAGAAAGAAAAAATGGTGGGAAGGGTATAAGAAGGCGAGAATACCAAGTGGAATACATTGTTACTTGGAACCCCTGCAAAATTTGAAGAACCAAGACAGGAGAATTACAGGATGAAAGCTTTGCTTGGAAGCACCCAATGTCTTGTTTAAGTTTTTTTTTTTAAAAAAAAAATCCTACACTTCCATTCCAAAATGTATTGAAATTACAGTCCTGAAATGTACAAGGCTCTGAGTTACTCTGAGAACAAGCATTCAGAGTTGAAGTTAGAAATCCTCAACATTATTCCACCAACAGTCCTAACTTACAGAGATGAATTTCTAGCTATCTCTAATGCCCATCAGAGGTGTTCTGTGCAACTGTCTAGTACAATTCTTCACGTTAGTATTTGTATTTCATATTGCTGCTTCTTGTAATAATTGTAATTTTATCTGTACGATCAACAGATCAGATGTAGCTTCTCATAATAAGCAACTTGTTGTGAGCTGCTTGTATGTATAAATTGCTTAAGACTGAATCATGAAAATTATTTATTTTAGGCTATCTGATTCACTGTAAAACAAATATATAAAGATCATTATAATTATCTTATAATTATGAGTCTTCACAGCTTCAAATAACTGGAGGAAGTGTGTCAAAGTGCTCTAAAATTAGATTTCAACGATCTCATTCTTTGTATAGCCATCACAGCATAGTAATGCACAGGAGAGGCATTCAGGTTTTCTCAAAAGCCCCAGAACACTGCTTACAAGCGTGCATTAAAAACAAAAACCCACAGCCTTTGATTAATTCTACATCTGCACTCATCGGAAACCACCAGACTGTTTAAGCTGGGGAAACAAGTAGGTAACAACATTCTCCCTTTGACTTTTGCAACAATACTGTAAGTCCAACTGAATAACTTTCTGGCAGAGATGCATTCCTTTTCCCATGTGTAGACAAGCAGACTTAAAATCCTGGTTAGGATCCAGGTAATCCCAAACTCTTACTTGTACCGTTTATATCCTGGTGATCTTAATGCAAGATGCTTGAATTCTAATGGAAATGCTTCCTTCTCTGAAGAACTCTGTGCAATTTTAAAGTGATTAGCTTTGGCTGAATTTTGTTCATTATTTATACCAGTCTAATTCACTAAGCTACACCACAAAAGAATCAAAGGCTCTAAAAGCCAAAATGGACCAGAAAACTTTTGGTCACAACGTTCTGTCTCAAAGCTGCATCATCTGCACTTAGCCCCATCATTTCCACCGATCAAAACAACTAGTCAATCCAAAATGAAGTCCTTTGACTTTGTTAGAATTGATGGGGCTGTCAGTGAAGATGTCCTCTATAGACAAATTTCAATAAATTCCACATATTCTGAGGTCCCTCCTGATAGGACCAGTCACTGTAAAGTCAAATATATTACACAAAGGGAGTATCCCTTCCCATTCAGAGCAGTGGTGGGAATTTACCTCGGTTGGAGTGGCCTGCTGCATTTGATGCTGAGGAAAGCGAGGTCTTCTGCTTCTGCCGTTTCACTGTCAACATCACCTGCTCCTGTACTCTTTGTTTTCCCGTCCCTCTTGTTTTCAGCTTGTGATCTGATGGCAATGCTAGAGTAGAGTTGGCTTGATCTTGGAAGCACTCATAGGCCAGTGCTGTTTTCAGTGGAGAGGGAGAGTGAAGCATGATTCCTGGTGGTGAGGAGGGATGTCACCTGTCTCTATTTTGGAACTTAAAAAAAGCAGCAAAAATTCTTGATTTAAAGTAGAATCTCAAAGAGTCCTCCTTGCCATACGTCCCTCTGCTGACAGCTGCTTTTTCCCCACACTCTGCTCTCCTGTGTGTGAGTGAGCTGGCACGCCCTCTGCTAGACTGGATATACAACCTTCAGTCTGTGTCTGCACACACCCACTGCTCTACTCCACTTGCTGATCCCAAGGCAGTACAGCACACTCACCCAAATACTGCAGGGCTGGTGGCTGCTCTTGACGTGACTGTGCTTTGAAAAGTCAGCAAATATCTGACAAGGAATAAAGAAGCATCCGTGGGGGGGGGGGGAGGTTATTATGTATGATTTTAAAACTAAAAGCTGGAAAGGGAGTCATGTCCCATGTAATGTTACTCCTGTGGCTTTGCACTGTTCTCCAAATCTATTGGTACAAATAGGTTCCCGGTACTTTTGCCAGATTTGCCTCATGGCAGTTCCATAGTATAGAGGTGGGCAGCTATCGCTCTCAGGTGCTGAACTTTAGTTCCTGTGACGCCCCTCACCATTGGTTATACTGAGTAGGACTGATGACCTGTGCAAACATATAGGGGGCCACAGTTGCCAAACCTGGACTAGGACATTCTCATCTGAATGATTTTCTTCTTTTCCCTGCACTGAACTAGGTCACTAGTCAGGAATAAGTTGTTCATTTGCTGATGCACAAAATAATTCCAGGCATGTTGTTTGCAGAAATAAATGGTAGCCTTGAAGGAACACTGAGTGTGAATTCCAGCTGAATGATGCTATTTATTTTCTGAAACAGTTTGTGCAGCTCAAAACAAGTTGATTTCTGTATAGCTTTGTTTCATGTTTATGAAATGGAATTGATAATGTACCTCCCAGTTGTGCCTCATAGTTGAGAAGATGAGATTCTAGCAAAGTTTGCACATAGTAAACCCTGTTAAGGTAGCTGCCACAACTTCTTTGCTAGGCAAGTTTTCTCACTTACCAAGATGGGACATAAAAAACACTCTTGGAAAAGGCTGGGGTACATCTCTCAGAATGCCTTAGATAACAATGCCCATTTTCCAAGCTCTGTTAAAAGGTCTCAGGCAGCCTAATTTTCTGTCAAGGTATGGATGGACAAGATAACAGTCCCCATCCTTCCCTGGTGAAATAATACTCCAAGGATTCAATGGGAGTATAGTTTCATTGGGAAGGAATAAACATTTGGTGGCTGCATTTTGTCCAGATGGTTATAAATGTATTCTGAGCAAGGGCAAAAAAGGTTACATGGCTTCTGTAAGTTAATAGGGAGCATGCCCAGGAACATTTAAGTAAAACAGAACCTGATGCGGTGGCATTTTTAGTTGCTTCACCAGTGGTAGGTGTTGAGAAGCAGCAGATGAAAATGAATTTGTGTGCTGGAGAAGGATGTGGAATAATACCTGTGATTGTGAGATAAAAGATAAAATCTGGAACTCATCTTACCCTCACTTTTCAGGTAGTTACCTACTAATACATCACATTAATTACTGTCTAACCTCTGTTTTAATCTAGAACACAGCAACTCAATAGAACACACTGGATTCTCTTTATCTCAAAACATTTTAGTGCCATATGAAAGAGATTCCAGAACAATATTTTTTCCAGACTATGGATTGTTGAATTTATATTGGCAGTAAATGTCTCTGTAAGTACAAACAAACCACACACAAAATGGCCTCCAGTGGCATAACTAGTATTATTCTTTGTCTTTTATTTCATTCCTTTTAAGGAATAAAAATAAGCTCTTTATTGTCTAAGAATCTACCATGTGTTTCTTTTTCACAAAACAGTTTTTAAAAGAATGTTAATCGAGGAAAAAAAGGCCATAAAGTAAATTATGCTTGAGGGTCCTCAGTAGGCCATAAATTAGACATTAATGTGTGAGCTTCCAAAATGTATTATATGGACATTTTGGAAACTTTCGGTTCTTTGCTGTTTGAAGTAGTGCTTCATTTTAGATTGATTGCTGAGGATATACGTACGTATTATGACCCTTCAAAAGGCTCAGAGTGGCCTACTGTACATGTAAGGAAAACAATTTTTAGAAATTGGTTTCTACAGAAAATAAAGGAAGAATAGTTTATTTCAGAAAATCCAGACCAAATCCAGAAACATATACAAAAGGACTGGGGCCCAGATTTTCCTGGGGACCCCAGTTTGTGGCCAGAGCAACAGCCGAGTTCAACAGCTGTTGTGTGGCGGCCTCTGGGAATGGCAAATTGACATGGCAGCATGGGGGATCCTGGGACCTGGGCCATTAGTGTTTGGATTGTGCTGGCACAAGGCTATTGACCAGCATGATCAATGAGAAGGGAGAGTGTGGGCTGGCAAACCAGAATGGAGGAGGCTTTACTCTGGACAGCATATAGCAAGAAGAGCACAGTCACTCAGCCCAGTTTGCTCTCAGCAGCCTTTCCCTCTCTCCATGCCCTCTTGTTGCGTGTTGTATCTAGTTCTTAATATCATTATTGGGTTTTAGAAACCTAATCCTTCAGGTCAATTTGACTGAGAGGCATTTTCTAAAGCCTTCTTGCCTTCCATCACAGAATGCAGCTCTACTTGTTTAGCTTTCTGGGAAAAGCCCCTTAATGCATCTGGATGTGACATTACAGACAGTAATCTACCTTGTGTTAAGTGACTGAGAGTAGATTCACATGTTATGGAGACACTAATAGAGCTCTCAAGGTATGCAATATGTTTAAGGAGTGGCTTTTAGAAGCTGCATGAAGCTTTTGAAAAGTTCAGAAATTAATTGAATAAAGAAGTCCTTTCCACATTCATATAATCTAGACATTTTCATCTTCCTGAATGAACTGAAAGAACCAAAGAAGAGGAGACAGCAAAGTTCTGAAACATGAATGGCAGCAATGTGACTTTTGTGATGGGAGTGGAGCAGGTTGGTAGCAGAGAATGAGAATATTGTGGTGGACTACAGAAAATGGGGGGATGTTTCTGAAAATGAGAAAGCAGATTATAGATTACTATATGTGGCAACTTTTCATCATCAAGGAGGTTACATTCTAGGGGAAATTGACCAATTTCCTTCAATAACAGGAGAACCTGGAAAAACAAGGTAGCAAGTAAAACTAAGGGGAACAATTACCTCAGGCATAGGTTGGACAAGTCCGGAAAAGGATTTTCCTTTACTGTGGTAATTTCACAGCAGTGAGGAGGTTGGCACATGCAGCTTTTCATTGTTTTAGGGCTTTCTGTCATGCTTTTACAGCTTCTCTAAGTCAATAAGCTATCAAATCCACAGGACTCCAAGAGTACCTGCTCAATAGCCATTGCACACCCTAGTTTGTTCTTATGATCAGTGCCACACTGTTTCCGATTGTGCTAAGTGTTTGTCAGCATAACGTCCTTCAGCCGAGAAAGGTATGCTTGGTGAAGCTATTAACAGACCCTAGAAAGAACTGGGTTAAAAAAAAAAATCAAATGAAGTCCTAAAAGCAAAGATGCAAGCCTTTCCCCAGTATATATATATATACCTAAGTAAAAGCCATGGAGTTAACAAAATTAGTTGACAGTATAAAATGACTCAGTTACATAAAATAGATAAGAATAGTTGGCAAAATATGGCATTTATCCAATTATTCATAGATAGATAGATAGATAGATAGATAGATAGATAGATAGATAGATAGATAGATAGATAGATAGATAGATAGATAGATAGATATAGATATAGATATAGATATAGATATAGATATAGATATAGATATAGATAGATAGATAAACTCCAGCAGGATCACATGTTATTTGGATGCAACATTTACGACACCAAACAGATTCCTTGAGGCTGAGAGATCCACAGTTTGGATACCACTACAGAGAAAATTTTCTTGTGGTATCCTATCAACCAGAGACAAGTGGGATAATTCACATGAGAGTTACCTCAGTCATTCTCAAGGGACAAGCAGATTCATAATATAATAATATGTACTCTTTCCTCAATTTTTGGAACTGAATCTTTCAACCTTCTGTGGGACTGGCAGATATTAGATGTCTGTAATGGAACCTGAATAAAAATATTTCTAGTTCTAATGAAAATGACTTTACATTGTGTAGTAGTCTTAGTTGCTCCAAAAGTGAAATAATATGGTGGCAATGACAGTTGGGTTGTGGAAGTCAACAGCTGGGGGGGGGGAACTGACAAAGCCATGGCTCAGGTGCTCAGTCTCTCACTTGCTGCATGTTGTGCGCTCAGTACAACATGATGATGCCATGAATCATCCTGCACACCCTGAAAACCAGAGACACACCCTGAGTGTTAGGCTTGTTCAAAGCATTTTTGTTCTGTGTTTCTGGGGGCCTTGCCAAGGCATGGATTGCGATCACAAGTCTTGTTCACCTTACTTTGCTGCCAAAATGCTTGATATCTTTAGTCAGGACTTGTCAACACATCTCAGAGTAGTAGGATTTATAAATACTTATTTACCATATCTTCCATGAAAACAGTAGTTTTCATGCTCTAACGTTAGATGCAACAATTCCAGAACATCAGGGCTATCTTAAGGATAGCTACTGCCTCTGCTCTAACGTTAGATGCAACAATTCCAGAAATGTTGAAGTCATTGCGGGGGGAGGGGTGACCTTACAAGCAGAGGGAACTGCAGAGTGTTGCACCCTACAGTATGCTCACAAGTCACAGGCACCTTATATGCTAATAGCTTCTTTCAGGATTTCAGCTGTGGTTCAACACAGCTACATGGTCTGGAAGGAAAGGTGGTGACCAACTGATCTAACACCACCAGTTCCACAATCTTGTTGATCAAGTTCACCGCTGACTTCAACCACCACATGGCATATGCCCACATTTTAACCACAGGTCTTGGAACTGTTTACAGTAAGCCTCTTCCAACAGGTTGAACATACTAAGAATTGCCTGTTGAACCTGCTGCCTCAGTGGGGTCCAGAGCATCCACTACTTCTTGGGCAAGACCAGTGAGACATGGGATTAAGATCAGGGGCCATTACTCCTTTGGCTAGGCAGTGGCTGTAGCCACTTGCTCAAATGTATTGAAGAAAGGCTCTGGGTCACAGTCTAAGGACAATTTCTGGACCCAAATGGGT